TGATTGGTGTAATATGAGTTCTAGAGTATACAGCTCGGCCTTACCACAATCATCACCTATCAAAAAACTGCTGGCTCCTATTGGTAATTTTAACTTCCTGGAATTCAAATGTAAATTGTAAAAAAAAGAGCCGATGACTTTCATAATTATTTTTTTTAAAAATAATTTTCAGTTCATTTAATGCACTTTCAGAAGCTGGTATTTTCAAGTTTGGCGAAATTTGTTTCCTTGTTCTATTAATTGCTAAAGATATTGCACTTTAGACTAATTCAGAGAGATTTTTTACCTCATTTTAGCAGCTCTTTTGATAAACTTTGTGTTTAGATTTCGTACAATTTCCACAGGTACAATATCCAAGAAATTTTAGCCACATATAGGTATGCCAACGTTCGCTCCACTGTGCATGTTGCAAATGCAAACAACATTACTGGCCAATGATCCACAGAAACTGCAAATAGTTTCCAATCTATTGTCGGATTTACTGTCGAGTTCTCGCGACAGTTGTATCTCAATTCTGGCCCAGCTAGCGATGTTTGCAAGATTTTTCATCATTCAAGTTACATTTTCTCTACAAAATTTGATCGCAATTATCTTAAAGTTGGATCTATGTGTGCTTAAAAAAAAACAAAACATCATTTGAAGCAATAGAAATAATTATTACTGTATTTAATAAGAGTTTTCTTGCTACCTAATTTATACTTTAGAGAAAAGCTGGTACTAATTCCAGTCCCAGGAAAACGATGCTATTAAATACCATATATATATATATATATATATATATATATATATATATATATATATATATATATATATATATATATATATATAGAGAGAGAGAGAGAGAGAGAGAGAGAGAGAGAGAGAGAGAGAGAGAGAGAGAGAGTACTTATGTTGAAAAAATTGTGCGGGTTTTTTTTGTTTATGTAAATTTTCGATATGTAATTAATGTAGTTTTTGTATTCATTTACTTTACTCAAACATAGTGCTACATTCAGGACATGAAACTACTTCTGTATTTGTTATTCTTGGCTTGCAAAGTGGACTGACATCTATTTTGCAATACTAGCATATGGAAAACTTTCTTACACCAAAATATCCGTTGGTTGATAAGATCGTGTACAAAATTAAATTGCTCCGTTTATCATACATGGGAATGTACAGATGATGACCACGAGGAACAAAGTACAAACACCTGGATATTGACAGAGCACCCTTTGAAGGGTAGAAAACTCGTTCCAAAAGTACATGTTTGATAACGATATATGATAATGGTATGATAACGGTATCTGTTATCGGCGCAAAGTTCTAGTGGCCACAATAATTAATTGCATATGAGCAGGTAAGAATGGAAGAAGGAGAAATATTCATGACATCCTTCGGGCCACCACCCGCAAAAACATGTGTTATATATGTGCTTGTAATCAATGAATTTGCTTGACACAGTAAGGTGGACCGAGCCTTACATCATTTTCATAAAGGTGTACTCAATTTGGTATGCGCTTGAGTCTCTGGATATATATGTATATTTAATAAAAAAAAAAAGAAGCTCAAACTACTTCGCATTTTCTCATTTGGAATCGACGAACGCGGTTTTATTTGTGTATTGATTCAATAATAATTTGAATTTCTAAGGATTTTAAAATCCCGTATGGAAAATGATTTCTGTTCATGCTATCATTCGAAAAAGTGGATATTAAAAATCATGAAATTACTAAATGTGTCCTCCATACTCTTTCCGTTATAGGTTGTCGTCCACATATGACATTATGCAATTTTTGCTATTTTAAACAAAAAAAAAAACTTCGTCACACTTCACCACAAAACCCATCCCCCCTCTATGTGATGTCACAAATCTCTAAACTCCTCTAAATCCCCCCTTCGTTCCCACAATTTCTTGAAGTACTAAAAAGTAAATGTATTTTAGAGAGAGAGAGAGAGAGAGAGAGAGAGAGAGAGAGAGAGAGAGAGAGAGAGAGAGAGAGAGAGAGAGAGAGAGAGAGAGACGATGTCGTACCCTCAACTTAAAAGAACTAAGGTACTATTATTAGTACTACTCCTCGTCAATCAAACAATCCACGCTTTCCCCATTCTCCGTATTTGCTAGTATGACCATCATTTCGCGTCGCCTTCTAGCAGCGACTCTCATTGGTCGGTTGCGTTTTGATGGAACTGCTGTTTATTTGTAAACGACGAAGTGACTGAGCAGCATGACAAGAGAGCTGAGGTACTCGTGGGATATCTTGCAAATTCTCTCATTCAGCACAGATTGAAGTGAAGTCCAATCAAGATAATAAGGAATTGTCCGAAATGTTGACTATGTTAACAAAACAACAATCTTTTATCTAGAATAGTGTTTAATTAATAAGGCTTTTACAAGGACTGGTTAAAAGTTTATAAATTTATTTTTAAAAATTTAATTAATTTTAAACAAAAAACAAAATGAAATGTAAATTAAACACATCAATCACTTCAATTTTTACTAACATTAAGTTTCAATAAATCCACAAAATTCTAAGGGTTTAAAATCTGAAATATTTGTAAATGAATTACTTCTCTTCATAGTTATCATTAACTCGAGGCATATTAAAGATGCTATTCCATTGAAACAAGAAATCTATTTGTTTCTAGATTAACATCGTTTATTGGAAGGCATATTTCCTCCTAAGCAAGCTCCTCCTCGTCTAGTTACGATGTCGTAGCCTCAACTTAAAAGGACTAAGGTACTAATATTAGTACTACTCCTCGTCAATCCAACAATCCACGCTTTCCCCATTCTCCGTATTTGCTAGTATGACCATCATTTCGCGTCGCCTTCTAGCAGCGACTCTCATTGGTCGGTTGCGTTTTGATGGAACTGCTGTTTATTTGTAAAGGACTAAGTGACTGAGCAGCATGACAAGAGAGCTGAGGTACTCGTGGGATATCTTGCAAATTCTCTCATTCAGCACAGATTGAAGTGAAGTCCAATCAAGATAATAAGGAATCGTCCGAAATATGTTTGCTGACCGAGGCAGAATGTCTTCCGTTTTGAGACTTTCAGTCAAGCTTCAAAGACTCTTTGTACTAATAGGACCGTTTATAATCTAGCACTTCAGTAGGTCAACAAAATGAAAGAAAAAAGCTAACATTTGATATATTTATTCCCTTTAATGTACGGCATCCCAGAGCGACACAGGGCCCAACCTTGGGGTTACTCAACGAATTACATATGTTGTTTTGTTTGTTTTTTTCCACATAAAAAAATATTAAGATTAAACGTTCACTGCGGACCAAATACAGTTTTTCAACTTACTAAACTCGTGTGTCTTTGATCTCGTCTGACTGTCGTCAGGATGGTGATAACTTGCTAGCCTATTGTTTTACTTTTCTAAAAATCAAAGTTTAATCACCGGTAGACCTACAGTTTATTTAGTCTACATTTTGTTTTTAAAGTTTGTATTACATTATATTAAAAAAGAATAACATAATTAAAAACAACAACAGTTTAAACCAGTCTAAGGCTTTAACAATTACCCAATATTTTATCTAAGATAACAATAATAATGTAAGTCGTCCACGAGAAAGTTGTTATCTTAAGCAGATAAAAATAGCCTGACGATGCAGGTCACAAAATCCTGTCCTGTTTGTTCTGATGTTATTTTTAAAGAAGCATTCCACAATCATATATATTCTGACGTCACATTTCTTCAACACCCCTCCCCTCCGTCACACTTCGTCACAAAATTTGGATCCGCTCCCAACCTCCGGTCGCTGTGTAACGTCATATGTGAACGACCCCATATATTATAGTGTTTTTTAGGTTCTCGCTGTTAGTCGAGTCATATAGGAATTTCATGAATGCCATTTATGATTGACACCTTGATTGCTTATTTTTATAATAAGCAGGTGTGTAGCATGAATCTTGTCTGTATTATATTCTAAATATAAATCAGTCGAAAGTGCAGAATGTATAAATTATGTGCTAACGTTTTTATTTCAAAATATACTTTGCAGCGTTAAAAAAAAAATGCAAAATTGAACGTGTATTAAATTGTGTCTTAAATACATCAAAATAGTGAATCATGTATTATAATTTTCTAACATTGAAACAATGTATTAAAAAATTAATTAAATTATTGATGTTGTTGGGGTTGGGGTTGGGGTTGGGGTTGGGGTTGGGGTTGGGGTCTAACGCCATTTTTCAGCACACGATAGGCTATACATGGCGGCCAGTATTAATGGTTTAGGAAGAAACCGGGAAATCACCGGAAAGAACCACCGACCCAGGAGAAGCTACTGGCAAGATTTTTCACATATCCACATTAGACGAATCCTAGACTCGAACTCACGCAGACAGAGGTGAGATGGCAGTGATCCGTAACGGACAGTGCTTACTGTAATATATTCTTACATTTTCTTAAAAGTCTGGCCTCCGGCATGTCAGAATTGTATTAATCACCATTATATTCTAAGATACGTACCAGTTGTCAAAGTTATAAACAATCAAATACTAATTATATATGCTGAAATTTAGTAATCACAATACTGCGACACGTTTGGCTCTGTCCAGAGACCAACTAAATTAACTCACTTTCTTTACCGGTGACGTTATCGCCGCCACATCTTCATACTGGTTGTATATGTATGCGTATTTTAGTCTACATTGTTCTACTTGCTTCGTCTTTGCACTTACTAAATTTGGGCAGACAATATTTATTAAGACTTGCATTAATTGAAACAAGAAAGAGTGCAAAAGTGCATGTGTGTGTATGTGTGTGTGTGTGTGTGTGTGTGTGTGTGTGTTTGGATTTTTGACGTATCTTTAAGAAATTTGAGTCCCATCGCTAAGACGTCTGCAGTGTGGCATCTTACAGTGATGTCTAGCATTGAAACATGCGGCAGAGATGTTGCATCATGTCTCACCCAGTCACATTATCCTGACACCAGTCTTAACACTAACCTCTTAATTCTGAGCGCCTAGAGAGACAGCTACATATGATCATTTTTATAAGTCTTTGGTATGACTCGGCCGGGGTTCGAACCTGCGACCTCCCGCATCCGAGGCTAACGCTGTAACCACTTAAGCCACCTGAGCGGTACGTGTGCAAAAAAATGCAACATTTATGAATTCTTCTTCAGGTATAATTAATACGATACAAGAGCCATTTTTTCTCAGTTCTAAAGGCTAGTAATAAATAGATGAAAATAATTTTAAAGTACCTTTAATTATATATCTATTTTATGTTGTCTTCTTTTTTAGTGTGAGTAGACATATTATCTCAGATTGCACATCAAAACCCCGGCGAACAAATGACAAGGATAGAAAGTGTCGTGGATTCGCCATTTGTCCTTCTGAGCACGTAACATATCATTTCTTTATTATCGTAAGCATACTGAATTTGTAGATAACAGCTCATCCTTATTATCGTAGGCATACTGAATTTGTAGATAACATTTCATCCTTCATTATATCAGATTTATTTTATAAAATCATGAATCGGATGTTTTGCAACTCAAATTACAGCGATTCCACTTAATATTACTTATAATATTAACAGATACATCTAATCCTCTCACCCAAACCCACACACTCTCTCAAACACACCGTGTCGATTTCAGTAGACCTGACAGCACAATAGTACAATAAGAAAGAGCGCCGACTACTCGTCTAAATGCAGTTCGTCAGCAAGATAATGGCAAACCTCAAGTGTTCGTAAAACTAGAAATTAAAAGCAGACTTCTCGTAAACTAGTGAACCATTTTTTATTTTTTTTTTCCTTTGTATTTACTTCTTTTTCTCTCTTTCTTACGACTCCCGAGTCGGAAAAACAGGGAAATTAAAAACAGTTTTCTTCTAAACTAGTGAACCATTTGTGCTCAATTTTTCTTTTTGGTATTTCTTTCTTTCTTTCTTTTACTTAAATAAAAATAGTTACATATATTTAAAACTTTTATTAAACATATAAAAAAATATGCTGAAATAAATATCGAAATAATATAAGTTAAACAAATAATAATGATGTTTTGTTCTTACTTAACTAAACCAAAATGAATACTTCTATTTTCGATCAACCAATTTCAAAGCGAAATTGAAACAAACATTAGTCACGTTTAATACGTGTTAAAACTATAAAATAATTAGGACAACAATGTAAATAAATGTAAATAAGCCCCAATGAAATGACGTTGAGATTTACTTAATATCAATTTAAATGAACACAGATTTTAAGATGCTGACAAAGATTTGTATGAATATTCTAATAATAATCAACCATAATCGATTATCGTAATTCGAACAATTAGACAATCTGGATCAGTGAAAGCACAATTACTCTTAACTATCAGACTAGTGAAAGATACCCCCAGGAGAAGTATATCAAATTGAGGATATATATTTTTACAAAGATAATGTATTTGAACGTTATCTGGACAGATTATGTCAGTTTATGTGTCAGTTTTGGATTTTTGTTTTTAAAAAAGCGACTACAAGATGGCTGTGTAACATGCTATAATATGCATTCTAGTATGCTTACACATGTATCAAACGGTCACAAGAAACTCGTACACAGAATGCCCGGATGGGCTGAAAATTATAAATACAGGATGAACGTGAAAATAAAAATCGTAGGTTTTTAGACCCAAAATCTGTGTTAAACATATTAGGTATTCTTGTAGATAGCAGATCGAAATTTAAGCTAGATAGATGTGGTCATTGCTTTACACGATGATCGGTAACGATTTAGAATATTTATAAACACTAAAAATTAATATTACATATCTGTAAATGTGTATCAAATATCGGACGGCAAAGTTACAGATAAAAGAAAATATATTGTAAAAGTCAAATGTTTGCTATTGTTTTATCAGTCCTGTTAAAATTAGATGAAATCAATCTCCATTGACCTGCTAATAATATTTTAGTATGGTTGACATAATTATTACAAAGATGAAAGGTACCGCTATTTTGGAATTTAAATAAAAATTGTTGTTATCACAAGAAACAAGGATAAAAAAAAACAATTTTGTAAGAAATGCTTGAACTATTTTGACGAACCAGAAAAATGGCTCAGCGCAACAAAATTGTTACTATGGAGATGGTTTAGTAGGTATACTGCATGACGATGGCTCGGTGGTAAAAATAACTAATATATTTTCAACAATTAAACTCTCAATATATAACTTGTTTTCTAGACTACAATGTAACCAGTATTTCCTTGAGATACAGCTTCCACCTTATGCGTTCTGATTTCCCTTTGAAAAATCTCTCGTTTAAAGATGGAAAAACAAGTCTTACTGAAGGTGTGTCCTCGTCGCCATATGAGATGTCTCCAAAAAGGGTGAATACGAAGTTTTCGGCACACAATTGGACGTGAACATAAAGTGTCCAAAAAAATGTGCTTTGTACGTGTGGACGAGGCATAAAACATGACAATCAAAATAGCCAAACGCATTTTATCTGGATTTTATTTTTTTTTTACATCAAATGAACACGAAAGAGATATAAAACGATAGTCTAGAGAGGCACAGTCTGAATTAGAGTATTGTATACTTGTAGAGAATTAGGGCCAAGAATCACAAGACCTGTTATATTCACAGAGGAAGATGATAGTGTCATATATGCAATAATTATATAAACCACTTAACTTGAATGAATGTAACGCAGCTTTAACAATTTTTCAGTCGTATCATTACAATGTCTGCAGTGTGACAGTTTACAGTGATGTCTAGCACTGGGGTATCATGCCACAGACATGTAGCATGATGTCCCCACCCAGTCACATTATCCTGACACAAGGCCGACCAGTCCAAAAACTAACTTCTTAATGCCGAGCGCCAAACGAAGCTGCTTCCACAGTTTTTAAAAGGCGTTTATCCCCATGAATACTGTAGCAAACGATGTTAGTACCATTTTGTAAAAAGGTGTTAAAATGTAATTGATGACAGTTTTAAAAGACGCTGGAATATTTGATAATCATGACACCTAATCTGATAAAAGGCGTTTATCCCCATGTATACTGTAGCCTAAAGATGTTTAGTACCATTTTATAAAATCTTTGGTGTGACCCAGCCGGGGTGCGAAACCGCGACCTCCCGCATCCGAGGCGGACGCTCTAACCACTTGGCCACAGGAGCGGTATAAGAGAAATGTAACAAAGATAGCAGATGATGAGGTAAATATACTGAACATTGGCATTCAGCAAGGATTTCTTAATTGATAGATTTTTGAAATAAGAAAATGAAACAATAGTTAAAAGATATACTTGTAAACAGTTCTAAATTTAACGAACAAAGTGTTACAATGTAATTGATGACACAGTTTTAGAAGAAGCTGGAATATTTGATAATCATGACACCTAATCTGATAAAAGGCGTTTATCCCCATGAATTAAAAAATACTTTTAATAAGTTTAACATTTTACCTTTGTCTCCTTGGATTCGGGTCTCCGGCTTGGCCAGCGTGGGTATGTGAGAAAAGTTGCCATTATTTACCCGTGGGTGGTTCTTCCCGAGTTCTTACTCCACCAAATATACTGGGAGTCATGTATAGCCTATCATGTGCTGAAAAATGGAGCTAAACCGATACAACCAACCAACAGACCAACCCACGATAAGTTTGTGCCTACAGCCTAAGTAAATTAGCCATTGATGGCGTTCACAAGACCACAAGACAAACACATTGAAGTAAGTTAATAAGTCCACAATTTCTTGCCTCACATTGGTACATTTTCGGACAGTAACGCTCGCTGAGTACCAAAATTCTCAACTTGTATTCATTTTGGCAAAGAGGGACAAATTTGTTGCAGGAAAGTTGGCCTAATCTGATTAATTGGGGGAAGCATACGTTGAAGCAAAATATTAATTTGTGCGCAAAAAGCGCACATTAAAGTCGTCGTACTAAACTTCCAAAGAATTTTCTGGTTGATACTACAATAGGTATATTGTTGATGTTGTTAACAGTTTCTACTGGTTATTATATAATATTTTTAGAACAAAAAGTTTTAGTATAAAAGAAAACTCATTTACCAATCATTGGGTAAGTTCTGGTGTTTCACTGGATTGGTAAAGAACAAAAACACTCGAATCGAACAAAGGGTCAAACATAGGCCTACGTAAGTGAACGTCTTAGCAGCTAGGAAATTCTCTAGTAAATCTATTTGGCAAGCGATGATACATAAGGTGTTCGTCTACGGGTGATCCAATCGCGCGTTCAAGCTATGCAGTATCGTAAATTGATGGTAAATCCCACGAGAGAGAGAGAGAGAGAGAGAGAGAGAGAGAGAGAGAGAGAGAGAGAGAGAGAGAGAGAGAGAGAGAGAGAGAGAGAGAGAGAAAGAGAGAGAGAAAGAGAGAGAGAGAGAGAGAGAGAGAGAGAGAGAGAGAGAGAGAGAGAGAGAGAGAGAGAGAGAGAGAGAGAGAGAGAGAGAGAGAGAGAGAGAGAGAGAGAGAGAGAGAGAGAGAGAGAGAGAGAGAGAGACTATTCAAGGTCACCTAGACTTGTTAGGGAAAAAAATCGCACTCATTATATTTAGCTTTCGTTGTCTAAATTAATACTTTACGTTTTTGAAATAAAATTATAGAAGTAGTCTCTTATCAACAGCCTGTTTTAATTTTACCGAAGGCGTTTATAGTGAGGACCTAAATTATGTTTAGATTTCAGCAAGGCAGCATTTCATCAGTATGTAACATGAGGCATGTGAAAAATCTAATTTCCTATTTTTTATTTTTATTCTTGGAATAATCTATATAATGCATACAAAATAATAAAATACAAAATGTTTGAATTAGATGTCCAATCTATGCCAAGTCATTTTATGATTTATACAATTTTGCTTATGTAAAGAGAACATTTTATTTCCCATTGGTAAAAATCAAAGAAGTTTAATCTTATACGATCTCGATGAAAAGGCGTGTTTAATTATGTCGAGTCTTCTAATAAGAAATTATTGGATTGCTGTCAGCTTTACAAGTTTATTGCAAGATTCTGATACTTGCTTTATGACTTTGTCAAATTAAACACTACAAACCCTGTTAAAAACGAGCTTCCATTATTGTTTATTTTGCTCTTACGAATATCATATCTGACATCATTATAGTTGAATTTCTAGACGAAATGCTAACTGAATATATTTATATTTTATATTGTCAACTAATTCTCAATCTCGTAAACAAATACTCTTCTTTCCGTTTCTTTGTTTGCAAATTCATCAATGTTGGCAATTTTACACTTTGATTTGTTTTGTACACTTTATTCATCCATTAATTCATTCGCTCTGTGATTGAACCCTAACTGTTTCCTCGGTACGTGTAATTCTTCATTCTTTATGTTTTTATACCGGAAGGGGGTAGGGGCAGAAAATTGTACAAATTTATTACTGTCAAAAGCGGGGCTCTTAATCCAACCGGCTAAAGTGTTATCAACTGTCTGCCTAAGGTTTACATCGGTCACTTGTTAGCCACAGTAGAAACATCAATGACCCCTTAACCAGACACTCACCATGTCGGCACCCTACTTTGCATATAAAAAGACGCCACAAAACCTCCTTCCTCTTCAGTACTTGACCTTGTCAGCCGTTATATATTCAGAGGTCAATGGCAAACCATTCGTTCTACTATCGCAGCAATTTGCTTTAGCATCTTGCAGTCACTGCAACGCGGTTATACTCTGACTAGTACTTTAAACTCTTTTATTTCAAATACGACTGTATATAACACGAAAATAACATAGCTTCAGTTGATAAAAACCGCTCCGGTGGCCTAGTGGTTAGAGCGTCCGCCTCGGATGCGGGAGGTCGTGGGTTCAATCCCCGGTCGAGTCATACCAAAGACTTACAAAAATGCTACTAATAGCTGCCTCGCATGACGCTCAACATTAAGAGGATATTATTAGGACTGGTCGGCCTGGTATTAGGATAACGTGACTGGGTGGGACATCATGCTACATGTCTGCGGCATGATGCTCCAGTGCTAGACATCACCATAAACTGCCAAACTGCAGACATCGTAGCGATATGACTGAAAAATTGTTAAAGCTACGTTAAAAATCATAATCAGTTGATAAAAAACATGGACGTGAAATTGGCGGTTAAAACATCGACCATTATAACTAGTTCGAAAGCAATTCTCAATCCATACATTACCATGTTTGGGTCTAAATGTGTGTTGGTTACATTATCTATTACTTATACATGATGTAAAGAGGCACTGTCACCATGTGGTACATACTGTAGACGATAAGACCAATGCAAGTCCAGTCGTGCACATGTTATCAGAGATTGTACGTATTACCATGGTCAGGATACCAGCCAGTACCATTCTAAAGATGTGCACGCGCACATTTTGAGACATTGTTGTAAATTAATAAAATAATAAAGTCAGAAAGTAAAACAAAGTAAATTTATTGATTTATTAAAGTTGTTCATGTTGTATACCCTTAAGTTAATGGTTAAGGTATTTCAATACAAAATGGCCGTATCTTGTGTTCCACCCAATGTTTACCATGCAAATTTGACTCTCCTTAAATTTAGATGTTGAAAAGGACTTTTTTTTATATAATTCTCCATAAGTGCTGTACAATTATTTTAAAAAGTGATTTAAAAAATAAAATCAACCGATATGTTAAGAAACCTTTTCCCATTTAGTTATTAATATTTATTATCAATAACATAATCGATTATCTGATTAATTAAATTAATCAGGATAGGCACATCAGCACACTCGCTTTACAAGCTGTTAGAAATATTCACATACATTCAAAATTACTTGTTCGTCAGTATTCTCAACAAGTTGTAGTCATTTAAAATATGCCCAGTCTAACCCCATATAATTCACCACTGTGCTGTCTGTACTCGCTTATAAGTGGAATAAAACTACAAACATCAAAGATCCTGATCTGTCGTAGCATAATGCACAGACACAGATCTGCCAGCGCCTTATGCTAAGGCAGATCTGGGTGTTTGTAGTATGATTCGGCTTATAAGCGAGTAAAATACGGTAGCCTTTCCAGGGCAATAGAAAGCGATCCCGGGCACTAGGGTTAGAAACACCCGGGCCTCTCCTAGTTTTTTTTTTTTTAAAAAAAAATTCTTTTACAAAATTTATTAAATTAAAAAGATGTATCCAAAGTTGCCCTCACCTCTTGTCGGCCCTGAGCCTTTTTTAAAGACATGTAATGCTCTCACTAAAAAGCTCTTCTCTGGAACTATATAGATCGGTCTCCATTCCATATATGTGACTTCGCTTTATATTGAAGTATCTAAAATATCGGAACAACTAATGTATAAAGTATTTTTAACTTGTAATGCCTCACTTATCCCTTAATACACAATGAAATATTGGCCTGAAGCTCAGTTGTTACAATACAAGTTTGCAATACTTTGGGACAGTATGTTATTTTACTGCAAACTCTTAGTATGCACGCAGGATGCCTATTAAATTCATCATAGCACGTGACATCATTAACTTCTGAATAAATATGTCATACTTCTTTTTTTTCTCCTAAATTTTATGTGAATTCTTTAAATGCCACAACATCTGTGCCATCCCTAAACGAAAAGGGATTTTGCTGACAAAAACATGGTACAAATTGTCGAAATGTTTGACAAAATATTTTCCAAATTATACTCTGCTGCTTTACATAAATATAAATTCATAACTTTCAGACTTTTGCCTGGTAAAATATTTTATACTTTGAAAATGATCCATTGCAATGAAAAACATCTCCTAGGTAATTAAATTAGAGAAACGATTTCTAATTTCTTTTTTACATAAATTAACTATTGGCCAAAACTCCAGTACTGAGAAAATACATAGTTATTGTGTAGATTTCCCATGCCCTCTCCTATCTTCCAATATAAACTGTCACACTGCATATATCGTAGCGATTAAAGCTACGTTAAAAATCATAATCACATCACATCCTTTCTTCCATATGTGACCTTAATAGGCAAGGGTAAGTCAACATAACTCTGTAGATAGGTTAAAAATGTTCAAACAAAATTACCTCTGGTTGGTCCACACGTACACAACCAGATTGCAGACAATACATGGGATAACACGGTGACCGATACTTTGTAGTACAACTAATCTAGGGTTGGGAGGAACTGTAAGGCAGCCAGTGATTGCCCCTATTTTAT